GCTACTTCCGGTTTAGAAAATGTCACTTTCGGTCTCATATGATAGCTTTATTTACACTGATTCCAAAAATATATGGTTTATTTATACTTATGCCTGCAATAAGGGAGATAATATGCTATTTCCGGTTTATAAAATATCACTTCCGGTCTCAAATGATAGATTAATGTATGACCATTCAAAAAATATATGGTTTCTATGTACTTCTACATGAAATAAGTGCAAAAATGACTACTTCTGGTTTACTCAAGGTCACTTCCGGTTGATATTTTTCAAGGTCATATGTCACCCAACATTTTGCAAAAGATCTTATGGCTTTATCATGTACCAATATGAAGTAATAATCAATTTACCTTAAAATAAAACATTTCAGGGGCAGTAACTCCAATAAGATGTCGCTGGATTGTCTCAGACCAAATGTATCATATCTTCATCACAATATAACAAACATTTTGCACTTGTTCTTTAATATATAACATTAAAAATATCGGAGAAAATGCAAAAACAAGCAAAAGACAAAATTCAGAACATGACCTTGATCTTTGACCTTGACCTCATTTTCGAAGTAAGGATCCAAGGACCTCAAATAAAAAGACTATAGGTTTATACGGCTTACAGTTTATGAGTAACAAAAACATAACGATTTATTTCATAAAGGTAGATAACTCCTATTAAATTTCATCGAATCGCTTCGATCCGAATTAGCCAAAAATTCCTGAGGATGTAACGAACAATTTAGAAAAAGAATTTTGTCGATATCTTTTTTTTGTTACGAAGGAGATGCACACACTTGATAAACAGTGAATAGGGAGATAACTCTTACAAAGATAATTGTCCGGCTTAGCAGGGTGAAATTTAAAAGCGCATAAACTATACGATACAATATGAGAAATATCTAAGCGACATATTGCGAAACAAATATTTATCGCAAGAACAAAATTAGGCGGAAGAAAAAAAAAAAAAAATTAAAAACCAATTGTTCAAAGAACAATTGAAGGTCTTTCCACATCAATTTTCAAAATAATTGATGAGAAGCTAATTCTGGTTTACTCAAAGCTATTATTGGCGTCCAATCATAGGTTTCTTCATACTGATTCAATAAACATATGGTTTCTATAGACTTTTGCCTGAAATAAGGGAGATACTTGTCAACTTCCGGTTTAGAAAATGTCACTTCTGGTCTCATATGATAGCTTTATTTACACGGATTCCAAAAATATATGGTTTATATATACTTTTGCCTGTAAAAAGGGAGATAATTGACTACTTCCGGTTTAAAAAATGTCACTTTTGGTCTCAAATGATAGATTTTTTTACTCTGATTCCAAAAATATATGGTTTATATATACTTTTGCCTGTAAAAAGGGAGATAATTGGCTACTTCCGGTTTAGAAAATGTCACTTTCGGTCTCATATGATAGCTTTATTTACACTGATTCCAAAAATATATGGTTTATTTATACTTATGCCTGCAATAAGGGAGATAATATGCTATTTCCGGTTTATAAAATATCACTTCCGGTCTCAAATGATAGATTAATGTATGACCATTCAAAAAATATATGGTTTCTATGTACTTCTACATGAAATAAGTGCAAAAATGACTACTTCTGGTTTACTCAAGGTCACTTCCGGTTGATATTTTTCAAGGTCATATGTCACCCAACATTTTGCAAAAGATCTTATGGCTTTATCATGTACCAATATGAAGTAATAATCAATTTACCTTAAAATAAAACATTTCAGGGGCAGTAACTCCAATAAGATGTCGCTGGATTGTCTCAGACCAAATGTATCATATCTTCATCACAATATAACAAACATTTTGCACTTGTTCTTTAATATATAACATTAAAAATATCGGAGAAAATGCAAAAACAAGCAAAAGACAAAATTCAGAACATGACCTTGACCTTTGACCTTGACCTCATTTTCGAAGTAAGGATCCAAGGACCTCAAATAAAAAGACTATAGGTTTATACGGCTTACAGTTTATGAGTAACAAAAACATAACGATTTATTTCATAAAGGTAGATAACTCCTATTAAATTTCATCGAATCGCTTCGATCCGAATTAGCCAAAAATTCCTGAGGATGTAACGAACAATTTAGAAAAAGAATTTTGTCGATATCTTTTTTTTGTTACGAAGGAGATGCACACACTTGATAAACAGTGAATAGGGAGATAACTCTTACAAAGATAATTGTCCGGCTTAGCAGGGTGAAATTTAAAAGCGCATAAACTATACGATACAATATGAGAAATATCTAAGCGACATATTGCGAAACAAATATTTATCGCAAGAACAAAATTTGGCGGAAGAAAAAAAAAAAACAATAATAATAATTAAAAACCAATTGTTCAAAGAACAATTGAAGGTCTTTCCACATCAATTTTCTAAAAAATTGATGAGAAGCTAATTCTGGTTTACTCAAAGCTACTATTGGTGTCCAATCATAGGTTTCTTTATACTGATTCAATAAACATATGGTTTCTATAGACTTGCCTGAAATAAGGGAGATAATTGTCAACATCCAGTTTAGAAAATGTCACTTCCGGTCTCATATGATAGCTTTATTTACACTGATTCCAAAAAATATATGGTTTATATATACTTTTGCCTGAAAAAAGGGAGATAATTGGCTACTTCCGGTTTAGAAAATGTCACTTCCGGTCTCATATGATAGGTTAACCTATGATCATTCAAAAAATATATGGTTTCTAGGTACTTTTCCATGAAATAAGTGCAAAAAATACTACTTCCGGTTCACTCAAGGTCACTTCCGGTTTTATTTTTTCAAGTTCATATGTCAACCAACAGTTTGCAAAAGACCCTATGGCTTTATCATGTACCAAGTTGGAGTAATAATCAATTAACCTTAAATTTAATCATTTCAGGGACAATAACTCCTATAAGATATCATTGGATTGTTTCAGACCAAATGTATCATATCTTAATCACAATTAAGCAAACATTTTGCAGTAGTTCTTTAATTTGTAATTTTAAAAGTGACAGAGGAGATGAAATAACAAGAAAAGTCAAAATTTAGAATATGACCTTGACCTTTGACCTTGGCCTCAATTTCATTTAAATGAACCAAGGAACTCAAATCAATATACCTTAGGTCTCTATCACTTACCATTCATGCTATACATTTATATATCCCTTATGTCAAATACAGAAGGGGAAATAACTCTCATATGGAATTTACGTATCGCTTCGGTCAAAATTGGACAAAACATCCTGAGGATATAAAGAGCAATTTGGTAAAATAAATTTGTCGCTTTCTTTTACGGTTACGGAGGAGATGCTTGCAGGGTAAATTTCAAAGGTGCATAAACTGTTCGATATCATATACCAAATATCTAAGCGACATATTGCGAAACAAATATTTATCGCAAGAACAAAATTAGGCGGAAGAAAAAAAAAAAAAATAATCAGAAGAAAACCAATAGGTCTTTCCACAGAAAAGTGGAAAGACCTAATTAAAAACCAATTGTTCAAAGAACAATTGAAGGTCTTTCCACATCAATTTTCTAAATAATTGATGAGAAGCTAATTCTGGTTTACTCAAAGCTACTATTGGTGTCCAATCATAGGTTTCTTTATACTGATTCAATAAACATATGGTTTCTATAGACTTTTGCCTGAAATAAGGGAGATAATTGGCTACTTCCGGTTTAGAAAATGTCACTTTCGGTCTCATATGATAGATTTATTTACACATTCCAAAAATATATGGTTTATATATACTTTTGCCTGTAAAAAGGGAGATAATAGGCTACTTCCGGTTAAGAAAATGTCACTTTCGGTCTCATATGATAGCTTTATTTACACTGATTCCAAAAATATATGGTTTATTTATACTTTTGCCTGTAAAAAGGGAGATAATTGGCTACTTCCGGTTTAGAAAATGTCACTTCCGGTCTCATATGATAGATTTATTTACACTGATTCCAAAAATATATGGTTTATATATACTTTTGCCTGTAATAAGGGAGATAATATGCTACTTCCGGTTTATAAAATATCACTTCCGGTCTCAAATGATAGATGAATGTATGACTATTCAAAAAATATATGGTTTTTATGTACTTCTACATGAAATAAGTGCAAAAATGACCACTTCCGGTTCACTCAATGTCACTTCCGGTTGACATTTTTCAAGGTCATATGTCACCCAACATTTTGCAAAAGATCTTATGGCTTTATCATGTACCAATATGAAGTAATAATCAATTTACCTTAAAATAAAACATTTCAGGGGCAATAACTCCAATAAGATGTCGCTGGATTGTCTCAGACCAATGTATCATATCTTCATTACAATAAAGCAAACATTTTGCACTTGTTCTTTTATATATATCTTTAAAAGTGTTTGAGAAAATGCAAAAACAAGGAAAAGTCAAAATTTAGAACTTGACCTTGACCTTTGACCTTGACTTCATTTTCTAAGTTGGGACCTAGGGGCCTCATATAAAAACATTCCAGGGTTATACAGTTAAAGGTTTGTGAGATAAAAAAACATACCGACAAATTTTTTTGGTAAAGGTAGATAACTCCTATAAAATTTCATCGAATCGCTTCGATCCAAATTAGCCAAAAATTCCTGAGGATGTAACGAACAATTTAGAAAAAGAATTTTGTCGATATCTTTTTTTGTTACGAAGGAGATGCACACACTTGATAAACAGTGAATAGGGAGATAACTCTTACAAAGAAAATTGTTCGTCTAAGCAGGATGAAATTTAAAAGCGCATAAACTATACGATACAATATGAGAAATATCTAAGCGACATATTGCGAAACAAATATTTATCGCAAGAACAAAATTAGGGGGAAGAAAAAAAAAAATAATAATAATAATAATCAGAACAAATACAATAGGTCTTTCCACAGAAAAGTGGAAAGACCTAATAATAATCAGAACAAATACAATAGGTCTTTCCACAGAAAAGTGGAAAGACCTAATAATAATAATAATCAGAACAAATACAATAGGTCTTTCCACAGAAAAGTGGAAAGACCTAATAATCAGAAGAAAACCAATAGGTCTTTCCACAAAAAAGTGGAAAGACCTAATAATCAGAAGAAAACCACAGAAAAGTGGAAAGACCTTATTAAATATAGTTTCGGCAACTTCTATTTAAATATTCATGAGGAAAAATAATATCGGGTCAGTGACTGTATATGACATAGAAATATACAGTCAACGCATTTTGACTGCTCAAATAGAACGAGTGCAGTATAAAGAAAATTTGTTGTTCGACCTGTTAGTCAAATGCGTTTTGTTAAGACATACTTTTTCACTTTTTTGGTCTTTTGGAAAATGTTGTTTGTGCTGTATTTAGACCCCTCTAACAAGAAATTTGTTTTGCACGCACACGTATAAAAATTGCGGTTTTTATCCACCGCAATCATAGGTTTCAACGTTGTTTTCAATTTAGACTTGTTTATATATATATAGGTAATATACGAAGATGATGTAAAATCGTGTTGATAAATATTTCGGATTAACAAATATCCTTCGTCAGTGTCAATAATTTTAACAATACTAATGGTTTGTGTAAAATAGCTCAATAATAGAGGTCGGTCAATTTAAATCCTATCCAATCGTATCAGGTGCGTTGACGTATACGTATCTGGGGACATACTAATATAACATGTCGTACTATCCTTGAGTGAAATATCGTTGAATATGTGAAGAAACCGTGCTTACGAGGTACTTGGCACTATGTGTGTAACTAATATAATTGTCAAAGTTTAATTATCTCGCGTCTGGAACATAACCGAATCGAGTGCACATTATTTTGAGCATATGATGTCTTTTTTCCAGTGTTGCATTTGGTAATTTGTACTGTCTTCGTGTAATTGCCCTATATCTGGGTTTTTCACACAAGCCTACGTGAGCTAATGATAAACCCCCTTTTCGCAAAACACCATATATATAATGGATAATTGTTTTCGCTATTGGTTTCCATGAAATGAAGAGAATAAGGAGTTTTGATACTCAGCATAGACTTAAACTCGGGATCAAATATTTTGTTTTCTTATGCCTCCAGATACGTTAACGTCAACGTGTCTGATATGAAGTGATACGTTTTAGATTGACCGACCTCTATTACAGGTAAGTTTTAGTCTATTGATTTAATCCCAAATCGTGAACCTCATCAAATAAAACAATACTCAATAGACGTGCCTGTGTATATATACGTCTATTGAGTATTGTTTTATTTGATGAGGTTCACGATTTGGGATTAAATACTCAATAGACGTGCCTGTGTATATAAATGTCCCAAATATTTTACACAAACCATTAGTGTTGTTAAAATTATTGTCACTGACGAAGGCTATGTTTTAATCCGAAATATTTGTATATTGGTAGATTGATTATGTGTTATTCGTGTAGTTTATATTGTATGTAGAGAGCCTTATTGAAAATTGGTTTAATCCAAAAGGAGTTACTCTCTTAAAATAAAGTTTTTTTTCTTATTATTATTATTATTATTATTATTATTATTATTATTATTATTATTATTATTAAGAGATGACAGAACTGGGAAGTTCGTTGACACTTGGTTCTAGTACTGCAAAAACTGCGACCAAAACCGAGTTAAATATTAGAACAATGAGTAATCTACCAGAAAAGCAGAAGTAAATCAGTAAATCGCGTTTTTTATGCAGTTGGAAGGCATAAAGAGTAAATTTATTTGAAATTGATAAGTGAACATGATTCTCATTCAATGATATACCGAAGGAAAGTTCGGAAATTGTATTTCATAAAAATTGCAACTAATCATATACAAGTGAATATAATATTGCGGTGGTTACTAAGAGACAAAATGATTAAATAAGCAGACTGTTCAAAATACGACAGTGAAGTCACGAGTATTTTAATTCTTCTATCAATTGGAGTGCTTGTATATTTTCCAATAAAAAAAGCTATAAGCAAGACATAAAACTTATGAAAACTGAGTTAGATAAAAAGTTACTCGCCTAACAAACGCTGCAAACTATTACGGTGATTCAAACTTGCTTCATTAAATTAACTGAAACAACTTTAAAGAACAAGCATTTTACTATAGCCAGTTCTTAATGAAATTTCTTCCGGGTTTAAAACAAGATATTACGGTCAAAGCTTGCTCAAACTTATAATCCGAATCAATAAATACAACTGCCTTTTCCAAACCAACTATTGATTTAAATGATCATTTATTAAGAAAAAAAAACTAATTTTTATTATCTTCTTTAATTGCAAAGTTTGTTTCATACCTACCTGAAAACATACGTCATAGCTTTACAACAAGAAAAACTACAGCGACATTTGGATGTTAATAGTGATTTTAGTGGCATCTAATCACAACGAGGTCAGGGTGAGACCAACATTATTAAGAGTGGCTATATCACACTAGGGGGTGCATATAGATAATACAACAGCATCATTCACCGATGCGATTCCATACTCTAAACCAAAATGTAGAGCAAAACCATTTCGTTGATTGGATGCTTTAGACAAGCTTCAATGGTGTTATCATGATAAGAGTAATGATGTTGACCAGATATGGGTTTTTGGAGACTTTTGTCAAGGGATATTATAGAGTTCCTAATAGAATTGCAAGCAACTAAAAAAAAACAATTTCTAGCAGGGTTTAAAAAACCCGGGTTTTATGAGTATTGCCCAGCCCAGTGGGAAATACTGAGAAAACCCGGGTTTTACTGGGCTTTACCGGGTAATACTGGGCAATACTGGGTAATATGAAATACTGGCCTGAATTTTAAAAGAGGAATCAGTGATTAATCACAAATTCAATACATTAAAGTCAAAGAATTCAATTTGTTTTTTTTTTAATAAATATAACTTATATGAAGAATTAACAGTTCTATGTAAGGAAATAACTTTTAAACATTTTTTGTTCATTACTAAAAATGTTTACTAAGTTTTAGCATATGTTTATGTACATCACTAATTAATAAGTAACAATTCAGATTATAATACAGATTTGTTGATATAACAATAATCAGTCTTTTGATTTTTATAAGTGTTCATGGCCTGTCCCCTTAGGGTGTTTGTTTAGCAATATGATTGTATAACAGTTAAAATTTACAATTCATTAAAACACTGCAATAAAATGCATTTTTTCAACTTGGATTTAATATTGAAACAAAGCTTGGAAATTAACAAGGTATCCTGAAATGTCCAAAACTTGTATTCTGCCTACATAGAATCAGTGGAGAAAAGGAAGACATTGAATTTTCAATCTTCAGGAATGACTCTCAATGGTTATCCGTTTAAAATGTATATCTTTAGCTTTAATACTATTAAACTACAACAAGTCTTTACTATTTTGTGTAAATATAAGCTTGCAAAATCATATTACCCAGTATTGCCCAGTATTACCCGTTTCTAGGAGTATTGCAAAGCCCGGGAAAACCCGGGTTTTCCCACCCGGGTTTTCCCGCCCGGGTAATACTTTGCCAACCCTGTTTTCTGGACAGGTACAATTGTCTTCTGTCGAAGAAGCGCACCGATGTCACAGTTGTAGCATATCCTCCAATTATAAATGCTGAACCGAATGATATGGGCATAGGAACCTGATGTTCAGTGGTTGTCGTTTGTTGATGTGGTTCATAAGTGTTTCTCGTTTCTCGTTTTTTTTTATATAGATTAGACCGTTGGTTTTCCTGTTTGAATGGTTTTACACTAGTCATTTTTGGGGCCCTTTATAGCTTGCTGTTTGGTGTGAGCCAAGGCTCCGTGTTGAAGGCCGTACTTTGACCTATAACGGTTTACTTTTACAAATTGTGACTTGGATGGAGAATTGTCTCATTGGCACTCATACCACATCTTCTTATATCTATATAGTGTATACTGCCATAAAGAAATGTCTTCACATGTCGAATAATTCTGGGCAGGTTCATGCTATTCAAACATTCAACCAGCAATTCTATGCAATCGCACAACAAGTTAAATCGCAATGGTCTCCACAGCTTGTAAAAAGTAAAATAACAAAAATACCGAAATACTCCAAGGACAATTCAAAACGGAAAGTCCCTTATTAAATGGCAAAATCAAAAGCTAAAACACATTAAACGATAGCAAAACAACTGTCATATTCTTGACTTAAACATTGGTAAAGGCATTTCCTTATGTAGAACATGGTGGATAAAACCTGGTTTTATAGCTAGCTAAACCTCTCACTTTTATGACATTCGCATAAAATTCCGCAAAACCACTCCTGCTTTCAAGATTGGATTACGGATGGAGATCAGTCAAAGATTCCTTGCTATTTTGAAGGAAACAATTCAGTAGATTTTCATTATCCTGTAAGGGAAAATTACAATGTAAAAAGTCCTGTGTTTGTGTCACCAAAACATTGCATGTACCGACTTATGTTCCTGCTACGGATAGAAATCCTGCAAGAACGTGCATACACATACTCTGACAGAAGAGGTTTGAGGACTAACTTCAATTATATTTGTCCGTAAAACTCTTGGTGAAATTTGTAAAGGCACATTTGTGATTATGTATAACTGAATCCTGTATCAAAATCTCAAAATTCCTAAAGGTAAAATGTGGTTCTTGTATTCGAAAATGCTTTTAATATTTGTTTGAATATTCCGTACTGACTTGTGATCCTTTTTTGCATTTTATTACATACAAAAAGTCTTTAAAACCCATAAATCAGTCTGTTTTAAGAGAGTTTGTTTGGAACTTTGGAGTACTAACCCAAACCTAGATGTACAAAATTAAAATGTTCAACAATTATTGGGCGTTAATAGATATATATTTTTAAAAATACATATTTTTGTTTTCGTTTTTTTTTCTGTTGGTTTGCTATGATTTTGAAGCCCGTAATAGTAAGGGTTATGAAAAAAGGAAATCTTTTTTGTTTAAACCACCCCTTTTTGTAAAATCGTATCACTTTTTCGGTACAATTAATTTTTTGATGATTTTTAACTTTTTAGAAAAGATAATCTATGCTGGTTTGCAAATTTTTTTGGAATGAAGGAATTGCCGTTTTTATCAATTATACAAATTTTGTACGGAAAAC